AAGAGAAACTCATTTGCAACCTGAGTATAAATCTGACCAGAAATCAAACCCATGACCCTTCTGTGCACGGGACGACACTCTAACCACTGACCCACACCAGCCAGGACGTTCTTCCTTCCTCCTAGTAACAGAACACCTTGAGTCAGACCTTGCCATGGTCACCTGGAGCCTGCACTCTCCAGCCCCCTTGCAATTCGACTTGGTGACTTTATGAAAAACATGGCTGCTTGCCTTGGATTCTTTCCATTTGCCTGCTGGTTTTGAAATGGAATGGATACTTGCCAATGTCCAACCCATTCTCTGAGAGTTCCCTGTCTTAGAAGAGCTGCTTAAAATCCTACCTGTGATTAACTGCTGCCCAGTAAAGTTCCTACAGAGCATGTGTGAACGGACAATGTCTGCTGAGTGAAGGAACTCACGGGCTCGCTGGGTTCTCGGAATGATCTTTGGGGGACATGCAGTAGACAGAATGATCTGAACTGGACAGTGAGAAAATAAAAGCCCAGGAAGGTTGAGAAACAGCTCCACGTCAGCCAGCCTGTACGCAGGAGTGCAGGGCTGGCTCGCACTTCAAATCCAAGCTTCAGGATTTGAGTTCTCCACCCACTGAGTCTGCAGAAAGCTGTAACCATCAGATTGATTATTGGTGTGGCTGAAGTTTAATTACACATTTAACAAACAGGATGGACAGGTCTCCCGCTGACATGTGGTGACTCAGTTTTCCTCTCCACACTGCACTGGATTTTGTGTTGATGTAGAAAGTGGGCCGGACGGGCCGGACAGCACGCCTCCCCTCCGATGGGGAGCCTCACCTAGCATTTGAGCAGCGTCAGAAGCGGTCTCCTAGCGGAGGCCCTGGTGAGGCGGTAGTTGTAGAAGGGCAAGGGGAGGCTAGAAAGGATGGAGATGGCTCTGCTGAGAAAAACAAGCAAGTCACTCTGAGTTTAAGTGAAACGAACTCTATACTTTTGAGGTAAAGAAACAGAAAGGCATTTATAACTTAACATAACTGGTCTAGGCATTTGGGACTACCAATAGTTTTTATTTTTATTTTACTTATTTATTTTTTTATATACCAGCAGTTGTTTTTTTTTATACCAACAGTTTTTTTAAAAACCAATTAACTGAAGGCTGAGAACCTTTTCTCCTCACTCCGTGATGCCTGGGGCGATTGTGAGACTTTCTCAACCTGACATAATGCAGAAAGATACTAATCTGAAAAAGCATTTTACCCCACCGCGGCATCCACGTCTGACAGTGTCACCGGCATGCCATCTCTACTCCTCATCGCTGACTGGTCCCAGGTGGGACTCCTCACGGGGGTAGAAGGCAGTCAAAGCGTGACTTTGATCAGCCACTGACCCCCCGGTCTGCATCTTGTGAAGAACAGACATTTTCCTTGAAGTACTGAATGAACCATAAAAGCCGAGAAGAAATACAAGTCTGCGTGTTTCCTTTTTAAAGTAAAACTTCATCATTTTTAAGTTCAAATGTTCTGCATTTGAAATGCAGTTGAGTTCTGGTGTGCTTTCACATTCCCTAAGAGTTCACAGTGACACATTTTGTGCCCAAAGGGAGGATTAAAAAGAAAAACTGCTTATGACCTGGATTTTTAATACCCTGAATTTTTGTGGTTTGTAATTTAAAATTTTTAAATTTTCTCTTAATTTGCATCATGCAGTAGGGCATTGTTGCTAATGAACTGGGAGAGGCAGAGTGCTTACCAGCCTCTGAAAACAAAAACTTTGAGGGTGGCCCAGTGTTGGAGCTTAAGGGCTGTGGGCCTGTAGCAATGTTGGGTCATCGTCTATCCAAACACTGATCCAAGAATGTTCCTCCTTCCTTCTCTTGTGTCTCTCTCCCTCGCTAACAACTACTGGTTACTGAGTGATGGCTGTGTAATCTCATCTCCTCCTTATAACCACCCTGGGCGTTTGGTGGCATTACCATTGTGCAGATGAGGAAACTGCGATTAAAGAGAGAGTCAGCAACGTGTCCAAGGTTACCCAGCAAATAGACATCAGAGACAGGCTTTGGGCTGCTCCCCAAACTCTTCCCTTCACCAGTCTACTACAGAACTGAAGGCAGCTTGGCCCATGACTGGCAAAGGCCTGACAGTTAAAATACCTGAAGGGCACCTGCTGGCGTTCTCGGAGGGAAGACAAACACAGGCCCCCACACTCTGGCTAGAACGGACAGACATTATGTGGAAAGGACACAGGACTCAGCCTGTGGATTTGGACCAACCCTTTTTCAAAACAGCCCCTTGGCATCTCTTGTTATTGGTAAATCTCCCTCCTTCTGGCCTGTTTTCACGCCATATAATTATGGCAGGCATGTGGTTCAAGAGGCTGAGCATGTCCAAGGCCTCCCATTCCAGCCTTTGTTTCATTCGAGTTGGCCAATTTGACCTTCATTCATGCTGGGCCATTGGTAACTGGCTGCGCACAGGTCCATGCAAACAGCTGGAGCACGACCTTTTTTTATGAGTCTGCTCTCACATTCTTTAAGGGATGTATTTTTCATCTGTGCCAACTGGGCCAGGACAGGGACTCGTAAAACAGTCTCCCTTCAATAAGCCCTTAAATTGCTGGGCTGTGGAGAAATGAAGATATGAAAGCCAAGCCCATTGTCAGGTTTAACAGGAAGAAAGGAGGCATACGATGTCACAGAGTGGACACGCTTAAGTAACCAAGAAGGGGAAGGCAAGACAGTGATGAACACAAGATGGCCCGTTTAGGGTTGAGCTGGATGGCTTGTCTTGTAAGTGAAACAGGAAAACTCTGCAAACTGAAAAGAGGAAGTGGCTTCTGACCCCTGTCTAGACTCTGGAATGAATAAGCACACCTGATTATGATCAGTGTCACACAGTATTGACCCATTTCTATGAAACTGTGAAAGGCAAGAAAGGCCTGTGGCTCATGAGCAAGAGAGAGACCAACTGCACTGTTCGCTGTACACATTCCAGTCCCGTTATCTGGGGGGTGGGGGTGGGAGGGGGAAGGCTGGCTGTGCTCAGGAGAAGCATGTGCAGGCGGTGGGAGGCTCAACTTCATCAGCCACATTAGCTAAGAAATGACTTGTGAGCCAACTGAAGTTATATTTTACATGCAAGTTTCGAAAACCAGCAAGACTCCTGCATGTTATTTATGTATTTATTTTTTGGATATATTTTTATTGATTTCAGGGAGGGAGGGAGAGGGAGAGAGAGGTAAAACATCAATGATGAGAATCATTGATTGGCTGCCTCCTGCACGCCCCCTACTGGGGATCGAGCCCATAAACCAGGCATGTGCCCTTAACTGGAATCGAACCTGCGACCCTTCAGTCCGTAGGCTGATGCTCTATCCACTGAGCCAAGCCAGCTAGGGCTGCATGTTATTTCTTAAAGTAAAATTAAAGGGAGAAATAAGTTAGCAAAAAATATGTTAGCACAACTGAGGCCTACCTTAAGAAGACATGATTGGTCATAATTTGATCTTACAAAATAAACTAGGGGTTGGTTGTTTCCTTGGCTGGAATTCAGCTCCAGCCCACCCTCCCCGAATGGGAACACCATAAGAGGCATCGAGAGGGAGTTGGTGAAATACATTATGCTTCCTCTTAATGGAACACTTGGTGCGTTACAAAGAGGGAAAAGAGGCCTGAAGAAACAAGACGGAGCATGGTCCGTGGGCAGCCAGCTTTCTTTTCCGCTGCAAAAGCTCACCACACAAACTGAGAGAGTACACACAAACCATTTACACATGCCTTTGACACTGGCCATCACAGGGGTCCCAGGGACGGAGAAGGACTTCCTGCCCTCACTGGCCTGTTTCTGTAGTGTTTGCTTTTTCTGGTTTCTTCTACAATGAATACTTATAACTTTTGGTGAAAAATTAAAATATATAACGGTACATAAAAATGATTTTGAAAAAAAGTATATGGCCCCCTCTTTTCTAATTTGGACTTAGAAGCAAACTTTCAAGTAGTCCTTACTTCCCTTGATCTTGGTCACAGAGCTTACAGAGACAATGTTCTGTTTGTATGATTACACACATGCCCTCTTACTGCCCCTCCCTCGGACGGATCTCAGGTGTATAATAATGCCCTAATACTTGTACTGATACTTTTGGATAAGCCTCAATGCCCAACCAGTCTGATCGGAGAGCTGGCCAGGCTTGGAAGGGCTGTGGTGGCCCCGCCCACCCTTTTGTGTTATCTGCATCAGTTTCACCACCATAAAATGGGGAGAAAATAAGCTTTACTTATTCTCTCAACTGCAAGGAAGATTGTGAGCAGGGATGGAAGCTGAAAGGACACTTGCATAAAGGCATGAGTAAGCCTTTGAGTCCTTAGGATACCGACAGGCCGGGCAGCCGACGTTATCCATGCGCACTCACCAGCTCTCACCCAGGCAAACACGTATTGTCTACTTGTGCTTGGGTTGAGAGCAACAGCTTCATCATCCAATTTCAAACTGAAAATAATGTCACTTATTAGCTATGAAAACCCAAACCAGACAGAATGTGGCCCTTTACAAAACAGTGCATAACTTACTTTTCTTTACAAAAAACATACATGTGTAGTGTGGAAAATTGGGAAACAAAGATAAGCAAAAATAGCAAGAACATTAAAAAGATCACTCATAACCACATTACTGCGAGGTAATGGCACCAGAAATTTTGGCTTATTATGTCTTTACAATTAATCCATCTGTTTAGCCACCCAATTAAATATGTATCTGTATCTATGTGCATATACAGAATTAATAAAAGAAATGGCATCATCCTGTTCATCCTAGCTTCAGACAGAAACCTCCTTGCATGCACTTGTGAACTAGGCTGTGCTCAGAGTTCACCTCTGTACACACACTTCACGCGTAACCGGAGCCTTCCCGGAACCCACCGCTTCACTAACCAACGATTTTGCCCAAGACTGTTCTGTGCCCCTTAAAGCCATGCTCCCAGCCCTAGAACCGCTCAAGGTGCTCCGAGGAGTCTGAAGCCATTCACACTTACTTTCCGAGGTTTCACTTTATCTTGTAAGTCATACTGGCCAATTCCTTTATAGCTGATTCCAAGCCACCAAGGAAGTCCTTGTTTATCCTGGAAGATGGGAAAGCATGAGAACCAAGACCTAATTGTTAAGTCGTCTGGCGGTGGCCTAGCGCTCACCAGGCCCATCCTTTAACAAGTATCGGCAAGTCAAAGTCAAGCTGTCTTGGTAAACAAAACAGTACTTAAGAACCCAACTTGTTATTAAAATGCCTTCTTAGAGTTTCTTCAAATAAGACCTTTAAGTCAAAACAGACCAATATTATTAATACCATCAAAAAGACCGAAGTATTACTGCTTGGATTAAACATATGGAGAAGAAATGAAATCTAAGTAATTCAACTAAGAATTAATCCAAAGTACAAACCCAGTTATCTATTTAAAAAAGAAAGAAAGAAAGCTCTTTGTTCTCTTGATTAGTAACCAGCTGCAAAGGTCAGGGAAGTTTCCAAAGATGTAAAAAGTGGTTATAAGTCCTGATGTTTGTAATACACTTAACAGTGAACATGGGAATACTGAAAAACAGGATGTTTGAATAATGCCTGTGAGGTATACACATGGGGAGAAATTTTTTTCATAAATTTATCTTTTAGGTCTTGAAAGCATAGGGTGTATTGACATAAGGAAAGAAAACTTAGGCTGGAACATATATCTATATGCAAACAAACTAAGAATCAGTAGAAATTAAAGTTGCATTAGTACACATATTTAGTACAGGGCGTCCCATTAGGCAGGTATTTATTACCCAATTCCCCACCATTTTGAATTGTAAACTTTGTTGGAATTTGAAGAGTTACTCAAAATTAATCAATTATAAAACTATTCTGCTTTCAAACAACACTCCCTTCTTAACCTGCTTTATCTCTTCTCACCTCACCATACTCCTTAGTCACTCTCTCCCTGCTTATAAACATCTGAAAACACTACAGAAACACAAAGCGTACTGATGGAAAATTGCATTTGCAAATCCTACAAAAAACGTGAGGATTTTATGAAGCTACTGAAAAGACATTGGAGAGTGCATGGTTCTCACATAAAGGCACTATCTAATGAATTTCTGGTAGCATTAGAAAGGTAAACAATTGGAAAAGAGAAAGATAAGTAGGAATAGCTAACAGAACAGATGTGTCAAGGAATGATCTGAATACCTTAGGACTAACAGAGGCTTTGGGAAAACATTTGAACATAGCAAGTATTTGGCAAAAATATGATTTATAATTTGCTAAAAATTACAAGATATCAAGCTTTTTATTCCTTAAGAAAAATCAATCTTATTCTCAATGCTCAAATTTCTAGATAATTTACATATATATGCATATGATTTATACAATTTTATAAAGCTGGTGTTCACTAACTCACAGAATGACATGGGCATCACGAAAGCCTTGCATGTAGAAACATTTACCTTTACTGCGTAATAATGGACTCCGTAGGTTGGTAGAGCTTCTACTATTTTCATATACCTGTGGAAAATGAATATATTATAACCTCTTATTAAAATAGAGGGCCCTTCTGGGGAAAGTGATTGAAAGAAATAAAATTTATATCTACTTTTCCATTATAAATGTCTTTGACTAAAGTAGAAATAAAATAAAGCATTCCAAGGAGTAATATATTTTACTTCATCCAAATATTAGGAGGTTACTAAGAAAACTTCAGTTTCAAAAACTTATAGGAAATGTTATTTTCTGGATATTAAGATTTCTATGGCTTTAGAAGCATATTGTACTGTATTATACATTCAAATTGCAAGTATTTCTTACACTAAGCACCTAATAATGCAAAGCAATGAGTGTCAACTTTTGGGTCATTCTCATAAGAAGTAAAAAATAAAGCTATTCCATGTATTATTGATTGTGGTAAACTCTTAGAAATATATACTCAACTCTTAAGTCGAAAATCTCAGAAATATACACTTAAAAAGGACAAAGTTTATTGGATGAAAACCTGATTTTTAAAAATATGCCCACTCCCCCCACCCCAAGTAAAAATTAGAGCAACAGTGCTACCATTGCTATTTTTAATTCAACAAGTATTTATTGTGTACCTCGAAGGCTTTATGGAGTGGACTAAATTGTGTAAGACTGCCTCTCAGCCTACAAAGAATTGAGGTTCCAGTTTGATGGAACTTGTTAATGACATTTGAAGATTAATTGCTCTGGACTTTGTAACCAATAATTTGGTGATTTTAAAAAATATATATTTTATTGATTTTTTACAGAGAGGAAGGGAGAGAGAGAGTTAGAAACATCGATCAGCTGCCTCCTGCACACCCCCCACTGGGGATGTGCCTGCATCCAAGGTACATACCCTTGACTGGAATCGAACCTGGGACCCTTCAGTCCGCAGGCCAACGTTCTATCCACTGAGCCAAACTGGTCAGGGCAATTTGGTGATTTTTAAAAGCAAATAGCCTACATGTAAATGAACATAGCGGTTAGGTAAATGTGCCAAGTTCATGCAGCAATTACACTGCATAGCCAGGATTCTAGCAAATCAAGCCAAATTTTATAGTCTAGAGCAGGGGTGAGGAACCTTTTTTCTGCCAAGGGCCACTTGGATATTTATAACATCATTCACCAGCCATACAAAATTATCAACTTAGAAATTCGCCTGCTAGCCCTAGCCAGTTTGGCTCAGTAGATAGAGTGTCAGCCCTGGGACTGAGGGGTCCCGGGTTCAATTATGGTCAAGGGCACATACCTTGGTTGCAGGCTCAATCTCCAGCCCCCAACATGCGAGAGGCAACCAATCAATGTGTCTCTCTCACATTGATGTTTCTCTCTCTGTCTCTCCCTCTCCTTTCCACTCGCTCTAAAAAACCAATGGAATAATATCCTCGGGTGCGGATTAACAACAACAATAAAAAGAAAATTAGCCTGCTAAATCTGGTCAAACAATTAACTCAGCCCCAAGGCCTTGGTGGAGCCAGACCAAATGATTCTGCGGGCCTCACACGGCCCACAGGCTGGACGTTCCCCACCTCTGGTCCAGAGCCTTAACTACCAAGTTAGACAGTCTCTTATTTGGAGCCACAGTGATAATGACCACAGGAAATAAAATGACTCTGCATTTAAACAAGGAGACTTCATAATATTCTAACCTAAAATCCCTCAGGAACACCTACTCCTGTATTTCTTTCTTTCTTTATTTCACTTCAGAAAATTGGCACAATGACGTCATATGTCAAGGATTCAACTTCAGAACCACTAACTTCTGATTTTCACCTTGAAGATCACAGAAAGTGTGTTATGATAAAAAGGAGACTAGTATGGCTCTGGCCAGGGAGCTCAGTTGGTTAGTGTCGTCCTGATACACCAAGGTTGCTAGTTTAATACCCAGTCAGGGCACATACAAGAATGAACCAATGAATGCATAAAAACGTGGAACAACAAATTAATGTTTCTCTCTCTCTCACTCTCAAATCAATTAAAACAAAACAAAACAAAACAAAACAACAACAAAGATTACTCTAAGATGTAGGAATACAGGGGAAATTTCAGTTCTCACATGCCCTGACCTATATTCAGTAGTGTTTTGTTTTTTAAAGTTCTATGGCCATAAAAGTTATTGCCATTACTATACCAAAAATGCAACATTGGTTTTTATAATTATAAATTTAGCTTTTATAATTCTAAAATTTTAATGTAGCTTGTGAACGATTTTTTTGAGAGAGAAACAATGTTGATTTGTTGTTCCATCTATCTTTACATTCATTGGTTGATTCTTTTTTTTTTTTTATTAATCCTCACCTGAGGATATTTTTTCTATTACCTTTTTTAGAGAAAGTGGAAGGGAAAGGGGGGTGGTGGAGAGAGAGAGAAACATCAATGTGAAAGAGATACATCCATTGGTTGCCTCAGCCCTGACTGGGGCCAGGGATGGAACCCACAACCCAGGTATGGGGAATCAAACGTGAGAGCCTTTGGTCCACAAACTCTAATCACTGAACAGCTGGCCAGGGCCATTGGTTGATTCTTGTATGTGCCCTGACTGGGGATTGAACTTTGCAACCTTGGCATATCAGGATGACACTCTTACCAGCTGAGCTTCCCAGCCAGGGCCCCTTGTGAACTATTCTTAATAAATGGATGGTAACTCTAAGAGTGGAAAGTGCAGAAATATATCAACAGTATCATGAAGAAACTCAGTAGCATGAAGAAACAGATTATCTAACACCAACGCTGTGTGTTCCACCGGAAGTAGGGTCACAAACCTGCAACCAAACATGGCCGCCAGACAGGGTTTGTTAGGCTCACGTTGTATTAAAATTTTCTTAAAATTACTTTGCAATGTTTAAAATGGGATTTAAAAATCAGAAGCTCCAGCTTTTCTTGGAAAATATCAGAAGATCTGGCAACACTAGGCATGAGTTCTGAAGCTGAGTAGCTCTGCCCAGGGCAAAAGCTCCCCGGTTCACACAGGCCCCACACTTGGCCTATATTCCTCAGCTTTGTTACCTGCCTGACACCGAGAGCATCTGAACTGATGACACAAATGTGGAACGAGCCAAGACATTTTCTAATTCATGGTAAGATATTTGTAATCAGATGAGGACAATAGACACACAAACTACACAACAGAAATCATGCCAGAGGCTTCTGTAAACAGAAGACATTCACTGATGTCTCAGCCAGAGGAAAGATGGATACTTACTGAACCACAGCTTGACCCCGGGTCAGACCTCTGGTTTTCAAATAATGCTCAATGACCCTGTCCTCACTGCAAAACAAGGAGACGGCGACGTGTGACTATGTGAGACACAGACTCCCGGGTGGCTGCTTGAGGAACTCCAGGGGGAAGGCCTTCCCGACTGGCTGGGAGAGAAGCTGGGGGACATTTCTGTAGACGTAGGTTCCTGGAGGATTCAAACCTCAGGCATTTGACTACCTGGTCATGATTTTTTAAGTTATATTTTATACAATGTATTCATATAATTTAATAACATTAATATGTTATTATTAACAACATTAATATTAATATATAATATATTCATATAATTTATTATGTTTTTAAAACTTAATTTATTAGAAAAAGAAACATAATATCAATTTATCAAAAATGAAAAAACTAGTATCTGTTGTCATACCTGAATGAAATAAAATAAATACAAAATAGTGTTAGTAAAGAGAACTCAATGGGTGTTAGGTATTCAAGACAGTTTCCTTACATTATTCAGAGAGATTTACAAAGAATTAAAACTGCTTCTGAGTCCGTGTTCAATCTAAAATGCTCTATTGTCACTACTTGGGGACACAGTGTTTGGGGAGAAAATCCTTCATTATTGTCTTGGATGAAACGTTGGCCTGACTGGGGAGAAACAGGCTGAAGCCCAGCAACCTTGGACATCATTCAGCTGTTGTGTCCTACTTTCAGGCAGGTAGCTTTCAGCCAGACTTCAAGTGGAAGCTAGGAGAGTACATGTTTTTATCTCTCTACATCTGGTAATCAATAGCCATTGGTCTTTTTTCTTTATTTCCTAAAATACTATTACTTAATGATGATTCGTTTAGAAGGTTCCAGACTGAGGATGCGACGCAGCCTCAGTACTCACGTTCACTGCTTACTTGGGAACTGTGTTCCAGCTTTCCTACTAACACTATCAGTGTTGAGTATTTATCTTGTAATCAGTTTTTAGTGGAAAAGAAAACCATCTTTAGGATTTGGAGCCTTCAACCAAGAAAAATAAAGTTATAGGTAATGGATAGAAGTAATTCAAAGGGGGGGAAAAAGTACTTTTACAGAAGAAATGTTATGTGAAAAATGGGTACTATGGATTCATTAAAATACAACCAAATAAAGTAATTCAAAATATACATCGGTTTCTGGCCACAGAGGAAACTATTTCTAGTTATTAAGAAAACCTCTGTCCAGGGCATTCTGCATTTTATAGCACGTCCCCTGCACCCAGCCAGACGCAGGCCAGGCCGCGTGACCCACCCACCAGCACTGTGCTCACCAACGCTCCCTCACAGGCCCTTCCTCACTCAGGAATATGGCACGTAGCTGGCTGCTCTTGACAAGTGACTCCCATCTTGGTACAAGGATTTCCAGGGACTGTGCGAAGATCCTTTCACTGAAAGGATCACCGTCTACTTACGGTGACTCTGACACATTGATGGGCAATTTGATATTGTCTTCACTTATATTTCTTTTAATCCCCTGAAAAGCCTGCTGTTCTTGTGGAGCTGTGATAGGCGGGTCACCTGCTGCCTTGCTCTGGCTTACCAGTAAGCGAGGGACGGGTGCTCCTGAAGAGTTCTGGTTGGAAAGGCTGACAGAGTCCTTAAATCTTTCCTGGCATTTTCATCACTAAAAAGAAGAGTAATACAGTAATGTCAGTCATGGCTCCCGACAATATTATCCAAGCTAGTAACCAGATGAAACCTGAAAAACAGCTACAGCACACTGGGCTCCAGTAAATGTTGTCACACACACAAGGCGCTGGTCTCTAACCAGAGCTAGCTCTTAACTCGACAATGCCCCATGGCATTTGATATTATAAAGTTTAAAAAGATGAAAAAATTTAAATAATCATATTAAGTTACCTTGACCCCATCTTCCGTATTCTCCCCATAAACTTGTAGCTGTTTTCACTATATATTTCCTGTATGCATCTCTATTATTACATAATTATTATTATTATACTAGAGCCCAATGCACGAAATTTGTGCAAGGGGCTGGACCCTCGCAGCCCCGGCTGCTTCAGCCCTGCCCCGAGGCCTGCCTCCCGCCCAAAGGCCCTGCCCACTGGTCAACTGGAAGGTCATTCTGGAAGGTCGTTCTAGAAGATCGGTCCGTTGTTTGGTCTAATTAGCACATTAGCTCTTTATTATATAGGATTGTGCACATTTCATATTCTACTTTTATACAGCATTTTCCCAATTTTGTTAAATACGTTCTCCACCTTTCTATAGTAGCCTCATAATTATCTTTAGTGGATACATAATATTCACCATGTTGGAATACTGGTTATCATAAAACCATTCACATAGTATCACTCATTTTTCATGTTACTGGTAGATATTGCAATAAAAAGGTTTATGTAGACTTTACATTAGATATCATTGCAATAAAAAGATTTAGGTAGACCTTCTGTTATTTTTTTATAACTCTAAAATTTACCTTCACACCCGCACCTGCGTGAGAGTAATAATAGCACCTACTGCATGGGAAGAGCTGTGAGGAGAAATCCCTGTAATAGGTGACTTGAACATGTGTTTCCACGGAAACCCAGGGCATCGCTGACATTGCACCAAGTGAACTGAAAGGCACCCCATGCAAGGTCAGCTGTTATCTAATGATTTAAAATGGCAAAATTCTGCTTATCCAGAGAGAAGGGTGTGGTGCCATGGGATTTCACCGCAGGGAGAGCAGGGAGAGCTGGTTGGGCCTGCACCGTATGAGGGCAATGCTCTCTACTGCCCAGCCCCTCAAGGAGGTAGTCCAGGAGGAGCAGGCCTGGCTCTCCAGGGCCGGTCAGAGCCCAGGACACGTCCCTGAGCAGCTACTCAAAGTCCTGAGCAAACTAGTGCTCCTCAGCTGAGGATGAGGAATGCCCTCCTTCCCACCGCGTTGTACCTTTGTACTCTGTGGAGAGTTACAGAGCCGGGC